CCTATCCCCAATAAAAAACAAGGTAACCACCGTCCCTTGACATTCAATGGTGGTACCATCACTGAATCCCCCACTATCAGCATCCTGGGGGTTACCATTGACCAGAAACTCAATTGGACTCACCACATTAACAGAGTGGCTACAAGAGCAGGCCGGAAGCTGAGAATACTGCGCTGAGTAACTCATCTCCTGACTCCTCAAAGCCTGTCCACCATTTACAAGGCACAAGTTAGGAGTGTGATGGAATACTCCCCACTTGCCTGGATGGGTGCAGCCCCCAACAACACTCAAGAAGCTTGACACTATCCAGGACAAAGCAGCCCGCTTGATTGGTACCACATCCACAAGCATCCACTCCCTCCACCACCAACGCGCAGTAGCAGCAGTGTGTACTATCTACAAGATGCACTGCAGAAATTCACCAAAGATCCTCAGACAGCACCTTCCAAACCCACGACCACTTCCATCTAGAAGGACAAGAGCAGCAGATACATGGGAACACCACCACCTTCAAGTTCCCCTCCAAGTCACTCACCATCCTGACTTGGAAATATATCGCCGTTCCTTCACTGTCACCAGGTCAGAATCCTGGAATTCCCTCCTTAAGGGCATTGTGGGTCTACCTACAGCGCACAGACTGCAGCAGTTCAAGAAGGCAGCTCACCACTAACTTTTCAAGGGGTCTGTAGGGACGGGGCAATAAACATTGTCCCAGCCAGTGACACCCACAGTGCATGAAAAAAACAATTAAAATTCATCAGAAAGGAATGGCCCTGTTGGTCAAAATGTCCTTTCTCATTGTTGGATGAAATAATAATTGCCTAAAAGTGTGGATTCAGAAATTGCATTCTGTCTTTGACCAAATTGGTCACCTTCGCTGAATATCATTGAGATAATTAACTGGGAAATAATCCTGCCCAATATTTTTTGAACTGGATGTTTGTATTTTCCATAGGTTGTGTGCAACGTTTTAAATGCTGTCAAGTGAGCATTGAGGAAGGCTGGGGCAAACCATGGTGGACTTTGCGAAAGACCTGCTTCTTAATTGTGGAGCATAACTGGTTTGAAACCTTCATCGTTTTTATGATTCTGCTCAGCAGCGGAGCACTGGTAAGTCCTTGTGAAGTTGGGCAGCATTTGCCTTGGGTGCAACTGCACATTTATTCTCTGTCAGTTAGCCAAAAGAAAACCAGAACTTTGAATTCTGAAGCTGAGCCGAATGCCCATTTTCTTTTGTTATAGTTTAATGCTGCCTGTATTTTCAGTTTTTTTTTATCTCTTGTCAGTGCAAACTCTTTCTGGGATTCAGGTCTGACGAGTGCCAGGCACCATTCAATTCTTGTGGCGGTCATTCTTCATGAGTGCATGTGAGCAGCCTGTGGCCTCCGTTGTAACTGAGCCCTCACTGTCCTAATCCAAGCTTTTTCCAGCAGCCTGCCTTTCCATCTGGCCCTATCAGTATATTCTTAGTGAGACATGGTGGCACACTGGTAATGTCACCAGGCTCGTAATCCAAAGCACCGGCCTATTGCTCTGGGGACATGGATTCAAATTCAGTGAATAGATCTGGAATGAAAGGTAATCTAAGCAACGGTGAACATTGCTGGACAGGTATTTCAGCTCACTATCCTGTCTGAGCTGCTGCTCATCATGAAGGTTGATGCCACCATCCTCTTTGAGTGTAGAAAACTATGGGCCTATTTGGACTAGAGTGGGAGAGGAAAACCACCTCCAGGTCCAACTAGAAGAGGCTCATGTAGTTCACAAGACGTAGTTTATTGCATGTTAGCAACCCGTTACAGGCTAAATGGTTTGGAAAAAATTGGTTAAAAAACTGCGAGGAGGACCCAGACTGATTCCTGGGATGGCAGAAATGATGTATGAAGACAGACTGGATCAGTTAGGACTATATTCACTGGAGTTTAGAAAAATGAGGGGGGATTGGATCACTAATATATTTAGGGAAGGAAATGGCCATTCTTACCCAGTTGCGACTCTGGACCCACAGCAATGTGGTTGACTCTGAAGTGCCCTCTTAAATCGCCTGACGTGACACTAAATTCAAGGGCAACAAACAATGGTTTTACCAGTGATGCCAATTTCACATGAAAAAGAGAATTTCTTTTCTTCCTCATGTATTTATCTGTCTTCCCCTTGAATACATCAGTGAATTCCCCTCAATTACTCCATGTGGAGACAGGTTCTGCATCTTCTGGATAAAGAGGTTTCTCCTGAATTCCCGATTGAATTTGTCAGTGACTATCTTCTCCTTAAGATCCCTAGTTCTGGTCTAGCCCACAAATGGAAACTTCACCATATCGAAGCTTTCCATCATCTTTAAGACCTTTTGTCGATCAGCTTTAAGTTGTCTCTTTTCTGGAGAAAAGAGCTCAAGCCTGTTCAGATTTTCCTGATGGTTATTTATAGCCCCTTGACCCTGGTAGAAATTGAGTAAAACTCTCAGTTGATCAAGCCAAATTTGTAAAGATAAAATTGTACCATTGCATGACATGATGGTATTAACTACAACACAGGTATGACTATGGATTCTTTGCCAAGTAAATTGTTGACCATCCACGGCTCAGGTACATGCATCACCTAG